TCCACCACCGAAGACTAGGAGCGCCGCCCGGTGAGTACAAGCCCCACGTGTTTTTTTTTTTATGTTTTTTTTTTTTTTAGTCATCCCTACCGGGGCCCCGTCAAAACTTTTGAATCGGGCCCCACACTTCCTAAAGCCGGCCCTGACCAGGTGGCTCTGCGTGCTGCCCCGTCCATAGGCACCACCCCTGCGGCTCCCATTGGCTGCAGTTCCTGGCCAATGGGAGCTGTGAGGGCAGCGTGCGGAGTCCCCTGGCTGCCCCTAAACGTAGGAGCTGGAGGTAGGACATGCCGCTGCTTCCGGGAGCCGCGGCATGTGCCCCCGGAGCAGCCCCCAACCCCACTTACTGGCTGGAGCGCAGGAGTGGGGCAAGCCCCAGACCCCGCTCCCCAGCAGGAGTTCAAGAGACGGATTAAATTGGCTGGAGTGCCAGATGTGGCCCACGAGCTGTAGTTTGCTCACCCCTGCTCTAAAGCATGAGCTAAAAGCCAACTGGTTGTTAGCTCAGGCTGTAGAGCAGACTCATTTTATCTCTCTCTTTAAGTGGTCTCGGTGCCACTAGATGGGACAGAACACCACACCCAGAAGATGTGTGGGTTACACAGAGACCAACCAGCACCTGAGGGAGGCTTTGGAGAAAACAAACAATCCTTTGTGCCCTAGATTTTCTTTCAACCCAGCTGCCAGTCATGTTACTCTTCTGTACGAAGCAGCATGAGCCAGTGGTTACGGCTTGAGTCCCAGCCCTGTGCCTTAGGGTCTAGCCTGGTCTTACTTGTGTGTGGTGTGACTACTTCCCCCAGCTTCCCGCCTATCCACTCGGGATAATGAGAGGTGGCTGCAGCATAGTTCATTTCCTTTGAGAGCTGCAGACAGTGCTACTGATGTGGGTGGGTAATTCCTCCTCCTAGGAAGGGCTGCCTCAGTAGATCTCACTGCCCAAATCCAGCGGGAGGCCCGACCCCAGCCTGGGTGCTCATTACCTCCTTTCCCCTCAGGCTAACAGGCAGCCCCCTAGCTTTGCTGGGTGATTTCGCATTTGCAGGTGATTTCCGTCAGGTCAGTTCTGCTCATGTCCTCCCAGTGAGGGACAGATTCACTGTGTACCCAGCACTGCTTTCCTCTTCCACCCCAGGGACAGGGTGGGGGAAGCGGGCGCTTTACGCTGCCCTGCCCTCATCTGCAGAGAAGGGAGGTGCTCATTGGGATGTGACCACCTGTTCCTCAGGAGCTGGGCTGAGACCCCAACCCATGTCATGCAGGTACCACGTGGGAATGCCTGCTAGTCCCTGCTGACCTGGCCAAATCTCAGCTGGGGCCCTCAAGCTGACAGGTCCATTCCCAGTGCCCTGAGGCACCCAGCCCCTAGGTACAGCCAGTAGTACAGACAGTGGAAGGGGCTCTTCAGAACTGCAGCTCTGGAGATGTCTGCACTGTAGGGAATAACCCATGGCACTGAGTCTGAGCCCGGGTCAACTGACTCAGGCTCATGGCGTGAGAGGCTAACAACAGCAGTGTAGACATTCCTGCTTGGGCTAGAGCCTCTGTGCTGTTATTAGCCCCACCCTGACACGGGCTCTGAGACTTGCTGCTGTGAGGTTTTCTTTGTAGTGTAGCTAACTAGGCTAGCTTGGCTTGTGCTGGGCACAGCGAGTCCAGTGCTCTGCTCTGAATGCTTTTCACATCAGGATGCCAGAGCTTGGAGCACAGCCCCTTTGCTGAGAAGGTGGGACTTTGGGTGGGTTGGACTGGACTATTACAGTGGCTGTTGACTGCATAATGTTTGTATTTTCAGCCCCACCTCCAGCGAATTCTGCTCCTCCCGCGGTGCCAGCAGCCTTAGCCTCAAAACCTGTGGGCCCCCCGCCTCTTGCTGTGGTCAGCCCTGCTCTGAGGCCAGATGCCGCAAAGCAGGTTGCGAGCCTGGCTGAGGAGGAGTGCGAGGTGAAGGTAGACGATGTTCTAGCCCCTCTGAATGAGACTCTGAGCATGTGCAGGAACATCGTGCAGGTGAGGATTGCTGCTGCGCCCAGTGGCATTGCTGGTGACTCCTCTTTCCATAAAAACAATGAGGCACCTTAAAGACTAACAGATTTATTTGGGCATAAGCTTTCGTGGGTAAAAAACCCACTTCTTCAGATGCATGGAGTGAAAATTACAGATACAGGCATAAATATATATTGGCACATGAAGAGAAGGGCGTTACCTTACAAGTGGAGAACCAATGTTGAAGGCCAGTTCAGGCAGGGTGGATGTGGTTCACTCCCAATAATTGATGAGGAGGTGTCAATACCAAGAGAGGGAAAATTGCTTTTGTAGTGAACCAGCCACTCCCTGTCCCTATTCAAGCCCAATTTTATGGTGCAAATTAATTGTAGCTCTGCAGTTTCCTCTTTCCACAGGCGCGGATGTCGAGCCCTGTACCCTGCTCTCCCAGCTGCTGATCATCCCCCTCAGGGTGTGTGCAGCCAGGGAAGGGCCCATTGAATGGGGGTGTTTGTTCTCTGTGGCATTACAGGGGCCCACCACAGCCGAGCCATTCCCAAGTTGTCCCTCTGCACCCTGCTGCCTGAGAGGAGGATTTGAGAGCTCAGCTTGCTGGATGCAGATGGCTCTGACAGGGTCCTTTTCCCAGAGCTACCCCTCTTCCCTACCATAGCGCTAGTGGGGAAGTCCAGCTCCAGCCCTTATGGTGGCAGCTCTTCACTAAGGTTCCTCTCTGGACTTCCAGAAACAGGTTTGTGATGACATCAGCAGACGCCTTGCTGTGTTTCGGGAGCTGTGGCTTCAAGGAAAGCTGTCTGCCCCTGTGAGGAAGAGGATGAATATCCTGGTGCAGGGTGAGCAGGGGCAAAGGGGCATCAGGGAGCTGTGACCCAATCTAGGGAAGGGGCCAACTTTGCATCTCCCAGGGGTTCTGCACTGCGGCCTGCATGCATTCCCTTCCTGGCTCCCCATCTCCTCTCAGCACTCAGGAGGTGCTGCTCCCATGTCCCTCACCTGTCACCGTGAGGCCCATTTCTGCCCTGTCATGTCCCTGTGTCTGACTGTAGTGCTCCCATGCCTGTGGTATCTAGGCACAACTCTTCTTCCAGCTGGAATCCCAGTGGGTCCAGCTGCTTTGGGGTGTGGATGGAGCTCATGCTCAGCTCAGAGCCTTTTTTACTCCCCACATCTACCACAGAGGCTTGTGGGCCACTAACAGGGGGTGCTCTCTCCTTGTCTCCCAGAGCTCCAGCGGCAGCACTGGGACGTGGCTGATGAAATCCATCGCTCGCTCATGGTGGACCATGTCAATGAAGTCAGTCAGTGGATGGTGGGAATCAAACGGTTAATTGCTGAAGCAAGGAACTTGCCTCCTGGAGACTTGGTTGCAAATGATGAGCAGGGAGCTGGAGCTCAGCCAGCCGAAGAGGCCCTGTGAGCCATGGCAAAGCTGGGGGGACCTGAACTGCCCCCAGGTCCCACTGTGCCTCCCCCAGAGGTGGTGGAGCTCTTGGCCACTGGGAGCATTTCTCATTGCTGTAGTGGGAAAATAGCAAGACTCCTCCATCCCTGAGGAGTTTCTGGGTTCTCCCATGTCTCCCTGTCCTGCCTCTGAGTGTCTGATTCAGGATCAGCTCTGCACCAAGGAGAGGCTTTCTTACCATCAATAGATCTTGGGGCAACTTGCTGCATATAATGATACTGAATAAAAATTAGTGATCTTCCAGTGTCCCAAGCCTGTGTGTGAGCCCAGCACTAGCCTTCATCTGGAACCTGCTGTGAGCAGGCTCCAGGGCAGAACAAGACAGGGGAGAGAGCTGCAGCTGGTGTGGATATGTGGCAGACAGTGCTATTCTTTCCCAGGCCTGTCACGCATGGGGATGGTGGAGGCCTGGGCTGTAATGACAGATCAGTCAGATGCTGGGCCTGGAGATCAGCACTCAGCCCTTCCCATGTCCAGAAGAGAAGCTGCAGATAGAGCTGGGTGATGTTTTTTGGCCCAAGATTGTTTGATCAAAAATGCAGATTTTGTCAACTCAAACAAAACAACTGGAGGTGGCAGATTCCCTCCAGCAGCCCAGTAGTCAGGGCAGCAGCTGGGATGTGGGAGACTCAGGTTCAAATCCCTGCTCTGGAAAAGACCCAAAATGGCCTTCTTCAATTCACAGCAAATTCTGAAGTGTCAGTATGGGTTCAACCCAAACCCAGTGTTTTTGAACCAGGGGTGCACGGACACTTGCCCAGTCCTGGTTGCGGTACACTTCCCCTGGCACCTGTCACCATAGTGCCCAGGGGAGGTGCGGAAAGGTTGGGGCAGGCCTGGCCCTATTTCCCCTTTAGAACATAAGAACAGCCATACTGGGTCCACCAATGTCCAGTATCCTGTCTTCTGACAGTGGCCAACACCAGGTGCTCCACAGAGAATGAACAGAACAGGGCAGTTATCAAGTGATCCATCCCGTTGTCCACTCCCAGGATCTGGCAGTCAGAGGTCTAGGGACTCTCACACAGGGGTTGCATCCCTGACCATCCTGGCTAATAGCCATTAATGGCCCTATCCTCCAGGAAGTTAGCAAATTCTTTTTTGAACCCAGTTATATGTTTGGCCTTCATAGCATCCCCTGGCAACAAGTGCCACAGGTTGACTGTGTGTTGTGCAAAGAAATACTTCATTTTAAACCTGCTCCCTAGTAATTTCATTGGATGAGTTCTTGTGTTATGTGACGGGGTAAACAACACTTCCTTAGTCACTTTCTCCACACCTGTCATCATTTGATGGACCTCTATCATACCCCCCTTAGTCATCTCTTTTCTAAGCTGAAATGTCCCAATCTCACTAATCTTGCCTCATACAAAAGCTGTTCCATACCCCTAATCATTTTGTTGCCCTTCTCTGTACCTTTTCCAATTCTAATATATCCTTTTTAACATGGGGTAACCAGACCTGTGCACACTATTCAAGATGTGGGCATATTATGGATTTATATAGTGGCATTATATGTTATCATCTATCCTTTTTCTAATGGCTCCTAACAATCTTAGCTTTTTTGACTGCCGCTGCACATTGGGTGGATGTTTTCAGAGAACTATTCACAATGACTCCAAGATCTCTTTCTTGAATGGAAACAGCTAATCTAGACCAGTGGTTTTCAAACTGCAGGTAGTGACCCAGTACTGGATCGCAGAATGGAAGGCACTGGGTCACAGCAGCTCTGGTCCCGTCAGTGGTGCTGCCTGGCTAAGGCAGGCTAGTTCCTACCTGTTCTGACACCGCGCTGCGCCCCAGAAGCAGTCAGCAGTAGGTCCGGCTCCTAGGTGGGGGGGCCAGGGGGTTCTGCGTACTGCCCCCACCCCAAGCACTGGCTCTGCACTTCCATTGGACGGGAACAGACCAATGGGGGGCGGGGGGAGTGCCTGCGGGCAAGAGCCACATGGAGCTGATTGTGCATCTCTGCCTAGGAGCTGGACCTGCTGCTGACCGCTTCTGGGGCACAGCGTGGTCCATAGTTCCGGACTAGGCAGGAAACCTGCCTTAGCACCCCCACTATGCTGCTGACTGGGAGCCGCCTGAAGTAACCCTGCACCCCAATCCCCTGACCCCCCCAAACCTGGAGCCCCTTTCTGCACCCCAAACCCCTCATCCTTGGCCCCACCCCAGAGCCCTCACCCCCTCCCACACCCCAAACCCCAGCCCTGAGCTCCCCCAAACCCAGAGCCCCCTCCTGCACTCCAAACCCCTCATTCCCAGAGCCTGCACCCCCAGCCCCACCCTGCAGCCCTGACTCCTGCACTCCAACCCTCTGCTCCAGTCCCAAACCCCTCATCCCCAGCTCTGTTGGGTCACAGGCATCAACAATTTTCTTCAACTGGGTCGCCAGAAAAAAAAGTTTGAAAACCACTGATCTAGACCCCATCATTTTATATGTATAGTTGGGATTATGTTTTCCAAAGTACGTTACTTTCCATTTATCAACATTTAAATTTCATCTGCCATTTTGTTGCCCTGTCACCCAGTTTTGTGAGATCCCTTTGTAGCTCTTTGCAGTCTGCCTGGGACTTAATGTTCTTTCGAAGTAAGGTGCGTTTCCATGCGTTGCAATTGCAGCATATTCTCCAGCGTTTCCCTTTTCCCAGCCCCACACTCCGCAGGACTAGTCCTGTCTCAGCCAGTCAACATGCCTTCCCTAGAAACCCGCCCCTCACTGACCGGTTCATGCTTTTACCCTCTGGGGTTCAAAACCAGCCAGCATTTCCCCAATCACTATCAAGCACCTGCCACCTTTCCTCACTGTAGCTCTTCCTCCTCCTCTTGTACCTGAATCCGCAGTTGGGCTCAATTGCTGCTGCTCCCAATCGGCGCAGTGGAGCAAGTGTGTGTGTATAAAAAAATCAAAGCACCAGGCTTGGATCCTGTCACAGCAGCAGGAGAATGTATCCAGCTCTGCAGGGGCCGGATGGCTGCTTGCCCTATGGGTGCAGTAGAGTGAGCAGCACAATGAGCTGCTGCCTGCAGCATCACCCCAGTGTCTGCCATCAGCTGGCTCTTCCCTCCCAGCCCACAAGGGGTCTAGGCCAGGCCCTGCCTCAGTGCCCAACCAGCTCTGAGTTTGGGAAGGCAGATTTGCTGTTTCAGCTGGCAAAATGCAGCTCCCGCACATTGTCAGTCCCCTCCAGGAGGTGACCTAGCACTGCCCTCTTGTGGACATTAAGGGACATGCGTCGGCAAGGCTGCCACATCAACAGCAACCAGTGCTAAGGAATCCAGCTGGTTTCTCTGGGCACGGAGACAATCTCACTCCAAACAACTGCTCAATCCCACCCTGTCCTGGCCCAGGCTGTGGGGCAGGAAGAGCCCCCCCAAGCCTCTGTGTAACACAGTCACTGCAGCTCAGCAAGGGCATGAGGGGAGAGAGGATAACAACTCCTTTGCATTCTAAAGGGGGCAGTGAGACAATGGCATGGGCTGGCCAGAGGCATCAAAACTCCCAGCCAGGAGCAGCGCTGGCTCAGGCATGAAGCCCAGGTATTCACTCCTCAGCCCCTCACACCTCCTGGAACCCAGGTGGCCAGACAGATCCGCAGCTGGCATCATTGAGTACACTGCGACTCCCAGTACCGGAGTGCAGTGAGTTTTGCAGGAGAGATCTTCCAGCAGCTGAAGGCTTGGCCCTGAGCTCCAGCAGGTACAGAGGGATAATAGGAGATTTGGGGTGAGCTAAGACAGTCAGGCTACAGGTTGTTCCCTCCCACCCAGGACCGAGTGCCACAGGCACAGGCAGGGTTTGCTGGCAGCTCCTGGAGCTCATTGAGTCCTGGAGCACTTGCTCCAACAGTGGATTCTGGCACCAGCCTGTGCTCACGGCTAGCAGCTCCCAGCTGGTGGGCCAGTGCAGGTTTGCAATTGCTGCTGCAGCTGTTGAAGGAGACACAGGAGAAAGCCTCTTCTTCCTGTCCTATCCTCAGTGAGCACCAGGGTCTCTGGGCACACAGCTCATGGAGCTCATATTGCACCCTCCCAGGGCAGCTGTCATGACAGCCAGTGTGTCCCGCCCAGCCCCAGTGCTACAACCACTTCTGGAACAGCTGAAAGCCATGGGAGACAATTGGGGCTGCTCAGCCCATCACCCCCTACCCCAGGGAGGACACGTCTGACCCTGGCCTGGGGGGTTCTCCAACAGCTGATTACGTTGAGCCTGGTTCTGTGCTAAGCTACAAATAAGCAGGAGCCTGGAGTCAGTCTCCTCCTGATTGACCTAAAGCCAAGGAAAGCCCCCCTGCCCCGAGCACCATCCAGTTCCCTGACTGCTGGGAACCCAGGCACCCTTCCCCCGGGACCCCTCAGCCAGTTCTAACCAAACGCTCAGATCACCAGCATCTCTCACTCCCCTGGAGGAAAGGGAGGGCCAGTGACACCCGAACACTAGCCCCCTTGCTCCAGTTACAAGGGGAAAGGGCCACGGGACAGAGGCTTTGCCCATGGACTTGGCAGGCTCTTGCCACGCCCCAGCCATGGGCTGCGGGTTGGGAGCAAAGCACAGAAGACTCGCAGGGCAGAAGGGGGTACAGGTTGTTTATTGCACAGCCTCAGAGTGAGCCCATGGTGTAGCCACTAGACACGCTCAGCGCAGTGAGCCCAGCCAGGCACCACGGGGCTGGGGGAGAGCAGCCGCTCATGCCAGCCCCCAAACCCTAGTTTCATTTCAGTAAAAAGAACCGAGAACAAATGCAACTGCAGAGAAACAGCGTTAAAACAGCGCCAGATCCACAGGCTGCAGCTGCACCAGGGCCTTGCTCACCTCTGGGTCTTCAGCGAGGGAAGGGAGGCAGAAGCCCCAGGAAAGCAGCTCGCCGCCAGCCGGCCGTGTTGCTGGGAGCTCAGATATCCATGGCAAACTGATTGTCATCTGGGTAGGGGAAAGAAACGAGGGCTGCGTTAGGAGGACGGCGCGTGGCGAGGGGGCTCTGCAGGGATCACTGTGGGGATAAGATGCTGTTAACCAGAAAAGCACCTACTGCCAGTACCACAGCACGATCAGGCAGATCAGAGCGAAGACCCTTCTCCCCTGGCTGAGTTCCTGGGTCACGGCGCTGCACAGCTGACCTTCACTGGCCTCTGGATGGGGCCTCCCATTTCCCCTCCCCCCCGCCTGTTCCAGCTGCGAGCAATGGACGAGTCCCAGGGCCGCCATTGCTGTGGTCTGAATTGACAGTGTGATGGGGCAACTCAAGGGGAGCTGAGCAGAGCCCCAGAGAGAGCAGCAGTGACTCCCTGGGGAAGGAGGGGTGGAGCAGAGACAGCAGCAGGCAAAGGCCCTGCCTGCTAATTTGCAGTTCCCCTCCCATCCACAAGGGGCGCTCAATGCAGATGGTCACCCACCCAATTGGAGCAGACTTCCCGAGGGGAGTAAACTACGGGTCCAGCCCTGCCATGGAGCCACAGGAGGCAGCCGTGGCCCTGGAACCAGCACCCACTGAGCTCAGCTGCAGTCCCAAGAGGGAGAGGTTGGTAGCTCCACGTACCCAGGGCCGGTCTCCATCCCCTGGCACGGGGAACAAGCAGAGGACAGCAGGCGAGGGCTTGGCCTCCTCACTGCCCCGCAGACAGGACATGGACCAGCAGCCACCACCCAGCCAGAGGCAGATGGAACCAGACAAGCTCTCCCCATCCCAGTGCTGGAAGGGGGTGCTGCTCTTCCAGGGCGGGAGCTGCATTACCCCCCCGCTCCCTCCACTTCAAGTCCTGCTTCAGGCACCTTGAAACAGGTAGGACAAAGTCACTTGTGATGTACCAGGGGAGCCCCAAAGGGGGCAGCCCTTCTGCTCTGGGCTCTCAGGCCCCAAGGGCTCCAGCAGGAACAAAGGTGACGGGCGGTGTTCTGGGACCAGGGGTTGGGCACGTGCATCTTACCTGGGACCTCTTCCTCAGTCTCATTTTGTTCCTTAAGATCCTCCAGCTTGGAGAGCGCCGCGTGCGGGGGAGAGGTGATGCCAGGGATGTGAGGAAGGTAGCAGGGGGGGGTCCTGGCAACGGGCGAGTTCTTACACTCCAGCAGGAATTTACGGTCATAGATTATCCTGGTACCTGTCAAACCCAGCAGGAAAAATCAGCCCCCGGCACTCAGGTGCCCTCTTCCAAGAGACCCACCCACCCCTGTCTGCCCCGTAGGGAGCTCAGGAGTCTGACAATCCCTCTCCAAGCCTGGAGCAGGCAAGATCAAGCCCAGGCTTGTGCCAGCATCTCCTGTGTTGCCGAGCCATGTGAAGGGGTAAATAACACTTCCCTGAATGAGGAGGTGCTGCTAGGGATCCCTTCCTCCCAGCTGGCAACACCAGCCTGCAGCTCACCCAGCCATGTGACCCTTCAGCCGCCAACTGCTGACACCCAGCCACTCCCCCCCTCCAGTAATCCAGCCTAGCATCAGGTGGCAGGGAGAATGCTCCAGGTAACATAGGCTCTGCAAGGGGAAGGGAACAACAGAACAGCGGCTGGTGGGGCGAGCCCAGAAATCCCTGCCCTGCTGAGCACAGGTGGCAGCCTTTGGAGCAGAGCAAACATATCATGTAACCCAGCGCAGGCAGCTCCGAGCAGCTGACCTCGACCTCGGTGCCAGCACCTGCCTCGGCTCCCCACACTCCCGAGATAAGACTTATCGTGAGCCAGTGCCAGCAGGATGGGCTTGAGCAGTTTAACTGAAACGCACCCTGCCTGTGGATAAAGGCATGCAGCCCAGCGGGCCAAGGGCAGCACCAGGCACAACAAGAAGTGTGGACAGCTTTCTAAAAATAGAGACATGCCGGTGAGGCCAGCCGGGTCGCTTTCACCTCCTGCAAGAGGTCAGAGTCCCGGAGAGCCCCAAGGCAGGCAGTGCAGCAGCAGGGCAGAAGTCTGCCTTGCCCCCAGACGCCCACACCTGGCAGAGTGCCCCTTGCAGCGGGCACAGCCCAGCTCCTACCCACACCCTGCCCAGGCCTTGTCTGAGGATTTTGTACTGCTGCTCATCAAGCTGGTACCTGAGCGTCTCCCATGACAGAGCAGCAACAGCTCTCAGGAACGTTCCTTAGTAGCTCCACACATAGACAAAGCCTGGGAGAATCAGGAAAGCCTGGAAGCAAGGATGCTCTGGCCTGTTTGAGGAGCTGGGCCATGCAGAGCGCAGCAGAGTGCCAAATGCTTTTGATCAGTGATTCTCAACCTATTTACCATTGTGGGCTGCACATGTGGCCCACAATGTGTTATGGGGGATGCATCCAATACTACCTATATGACCCTGGGGAGGTCATATGGGCTGCAGCTGTGTGCTGACTGGGCCACAGGTTACTCTAGATCATCTCTGTCCAAACTCACACTTCCAACTTTGAATTTAAATCCCTTGTGCTGCCTCTACCCCAAGTTTTCCTTAAACTCTCCCCGGGGTCCTAGCCCTATTGGCAGGGCTAATGCAGACAGAACACTGGTGTTTTAACCACTGCATCAGCTAACCCTGCTCAGAGCAGGGCTTGATAACAGTCATCAAGCTGCTGGCAGCCACCCAGGCCCTAAAGCTTCCACTGCTACAACAACAGAGGGAGTAGCAGGAAGAAGTCCCACAGGACACAGCCCTAGCATCTGAGCAGTGCAAGTAACAGACCCTGCTTTGGAAAAGTGTCCACGGTAATACTACAAATGTAACAGCCTAGGAGGCAACAAGGGAACCCTTCTGTTTCTCAGGGCCAGGGACTCCCGGGGGGCCTGCACAGCTGCAGGGATGTGGCCCAGACAGTTTTCATAAAGCCTTTGTTTGGTGTCTCTCCTCGCAGGCTCTTGTGCACTCACGTGGCATCGGTGCAGGATTTGCAACTTCCAAGCAGGGAGCAACAGCTCAGCCGGCGACCCAGCCAAGCACTTCCACTGCCCTTGTTATTATGACGTGTATTGTGGGAGCTCCACAGCCCCCCTGGGCCTTGGCCGCTCCATGCAGCTAGTCAATGAATCGGGCAATATTGGATAAAACACCGTGCAGAGCCTGCTGCCTCCTCTGCACCTCTTCCTCCCTAGCATGAACCATGCTGGCCGGGGGGCGGCGGCAAATCCTTTGGGTCTCAGGGGAAAACCGAGATCCCGTCCAGGCGAAGGCGAAACCCGGCCAAACCCTCCTGGGGCCCAACCAGCCAAGGGCAGTTCCAGCTCGAAGAGGCTTTTCGGACACGGGGGGCATGTGAACAAGCTTGTGTCGCCCCCATCCGCTCCGGGGGCCCCACTGAGCTCAGCCCCACCCCGGTGCACCCCAGGTGCGGTCGGGCGGGTCCCCCCCGTTACAGAACCGGGTCTGAGTCGCTGGACTGCGCGCCCCCCAAACCGGAGGGGCTCGGGGCCGGGGCCGCCCCACGTGCCCTCCCGCGGGAAGGGAGGCACCGGACCCTCTGCCCGGGAACCCGGCAGGACACAGGAGGCCGCTCCCCGGGGATCCAGGAAGGCCCAGGCCACCTCCGCGCGGGAGAGCCAGGGTTGCAGCCGCAGCAGGGGGCGCTGGGCGGAGGTTCATACTGGACCGGCTGCAGGCAGAGTACGGGGGCTGGGGTCGCCCTGAGCCCAGGGGCTGCTCGGGAAGCGGAGCCTGCTGGGGCCCGACCTTACCCCCTGGGGTGGTGGAGTAGAGGGTCCCGCCGGGAGTGCAGCTGTAGCCGTCCGGGGAGCCCGGGTCTCGACCGCCGGGAATGGGGCAGGAGCTTGTGGTGCTCGTAGCGGCCATGGAGCCCGATCGGTATCCGCGGGGTACAGCAACACGTGCAGGCCCGGGGCGGGGCGAGGCGAGAGGTCCTTCCCTCCCTGAGGCAGGCGGGGCTTGTCCCAGCGTGGGGCGGGTCGGGTCCGGGGGTGTGTGTCCTTCCCCCTGACAGGCCAACACAGGGCGGGGGGCTGGGTCTGGCCGGGCTCTGACCCGGGATCCCCGGTGCGTTAGAAAAGAGCCGAACACCGCAAGCTGCACAGGAATCAGCCCAGGAGGTGGGACTCAAACCCTAGACTCAAGCGCCAGCCTCTCCTCCTCGTACCTGCTGGGCTCCCCGCAGGGAGTGATAAGGTCCCTCCCTTTCCCGAACCACAGAAACCGGCTTGTGCTTAGTAGACCCTGGAAACAGGGAAACCCATTTGAACACGTTTCTGCAAAGCAGCAGCGGGCATGAGGCTGCCCGCTCCTGGCGGGGTGGGGGCAGGGCACCAAAGAGCCTTGGGGTCAGAACAAGACATATCTGTTGCTGCCTGCAAACCTCTCTCCAGAGGAATCAAGAAGCTAGGGAATCGATGAAACTTAAGGAAATATTTCTACCTAGCCCCCCTGTGAGCCCCAGTAAAAAAAAACCTCTCCATGGGGCAGGGCTCCATCCCAGCTCAGCAGGGGAAACGTGTTTGCCAGATTCTCCTCCACAAAACCGATTTAAGCTCCTTCCAGGGGCAAATAAAGACATCCACACAAAGCAGAGTCAGTGACAGTTCAACCACCAGGGCCTAGCTGTCTGCTTTGGGAGGAAGACCAAGGATTCAGAAATTGAGAGTTCTCAGGGGAAGTAGGCAGTGGTTCGGGAATAAGACAGCAGTGGCTCCTGGGGACAGCAAAGCTTTGATTGAAGTGGGTCCAGTTTAGGTTTAATCCATCCTGGCCCACCCACAAATATGTCAAATTAATGTGTTGAAATCTTGAAAATCACAAGGGCTTCATTTCTCTTTGCAGTCTAGGGTTTGCAGGGCCCTGTACAAAGTGCCAGCATGCAAACCCTCAGGCAGTCTTGTGCAATCCCCACAGCAGAGAGAGGGTGTGCCTGGGAAACTGGCAGCCAAGCAGGCTAGGATGAGCGTTTTTTGAGTTTTGGCAGTTTAGAGTGCTTGTTCCTCCCTACCCGTGTGTTATGGCAAAAGTTGGGCATCTCAGGCTAGGCACTTCAAGGGCTGCTATTTTCCCATGGCCAACAGCATTCCAGCACTCCCAGTTCAGAAATAATATCTCAAGCTCCACTGAAGTAAATGGAAGTTTTGTCATTGACATCAATGAAGAGCTGGTATTTCACCCTCAGAATGCAGACATTTCTGACCCATCTTCCTCTTCCTGTGCTCTACAATCAGGGATGGATCTTCCACCTGTAAGAATGGCTGGTCTGTCTCCTGGGTCTGGGGGCAGGTGGTCTTAGGCAAAGAAAAGCGGTAAGCCTCAGTTCTCAATCCCTGTACATTCTACCATGCTGCCCACATGGGTGTTGCTATATTGAACATCAGTATAACTACAGCTAGCCCATGGGCTGCTTTCCCATGGCACTTTTTTTTGGGGGGGGGGCCTCCCCAAGAGCAATCAGATTTCACAACTTGGGTCTTCTTATAGATTCTCCCACTATTAAACATTGTCCCACTGCCTTGAGTTTTTATTTTACAAATAAATAAAAATAGCAAAGTGAGCATAGCTATTAAAACTGTTCTACATACCACCACGTGTTCATGGGACACCAAGTTTTTAGATTTTCTCCATTACTGGTATCTTTTGCATTGTGGGCCTGATGCAGACTTCAAGAGCATTAGAATGACCACAAACTGAGACACCATGAAAGATCTCTACTTCAGGGCAACTCCATGACCATCACATTTTATTGACTTCCACTAGTTGCCAGTCAAAACATAACTTGCTTCCCAACGTTTTGTAGGAGATGTTAATAGTCACATTTGCTAAGAATTTGAAAAGTATAGGTAACTGTACAAATCTGAGTTTTGTTTCACACATTCCTCACTGAATAACTCCATAATCCTGTTTTGTAGTTTTTCACACCTTCTCCCGCACGCCCCAGCTTATGCAGCATCCAACTTCAAACTGTAAGCTCTTCAGAGCAAAGCCTCTTTACTTGTTTCCGGAAGCATCTAGAGTGCTTTTGAAGCTCCAATATTCAGGAAGTATTAATGCAACATTAATACAAATTTTTACCCTGTGCAAAAAATTCTGGAACCTGATATAGCATATTTTAGTTGGGTTAATGTGCTCTTGTAAACAGAACATCTGCTCTGCTGTAAAGGGGGTAAATTGTTAGGGTAAGAAATAGCACCTACAATGAAATGTGTTCTTGTGTAGGGACATTTATGTTCCATTCTTAAATATTAGTAGAATACCTCAGTAAGTTCAAAAGGTTACTGAGATCTGATCACCTACTAGTTCTTGGCTACTATTTGAGCACTTTTATGTTTTCAAAAACATTTAAAAAGTGACTGGGCAGAAATATGCCACCACATAGGAGTGAACTCTTAGGATTCAGTGATGATCTGCCGCCTTCTGGTTGCTGCATCCTCAGGCTTTTCCTGGAAAAACTATTGCTGCATATAGGGAATTGGCAGGATGGGTGGAAAGATGGGGGAAGTCTCTGTCTATATTGAGACTTTGGCCTTTGAGACTGTAAGAAAGTGGTCCATGACACAGGGTACCCATTTGTGTAGTGTAGTTACTGGCTCGAGAAGTGGATCAGATCTTCACATTATAATTAGTGTCTCATTACTGAGCAAGAGTAAAGTATGATTTTAAGGCTAAAGTGTGACATTTCCAACCTGGGGGAAATGCACCATTTGCATGCAGAGTGAATGTAGGTTTTAATATGGTATTCAAAGGAGCTTGCAAAACCTGTTCTGACTCACAGAAATGTGATGATAAACTCTGATCACATTTAAAGGGACACAAATAATTTAAGATCAAATACTGGCCAACGTTATGATTGGTGGTGAAATATTCTCTGGTTTCCAGATATCTGTTTTTAGAAATCTGCCAGTCACCAAGATATGTAATTAGATCAGTGGCTTTCAACCTGTGGCCGTGGACCCCTGGAGGTCCACAGATTATGTTTAAGGGGTCCGTGAAAGGTGGTTGTTACCACAGAACAGTGGTTTTCAACCTGTGGTCTGCAGATCCCTGGGGGTCCACAGACTATGTCTAAGATGTTTAAAGAGGTCTGCACTTCCATTTTAAATTGTTTAGGGGTCTGCAAATGACAACCACTGTGTTAGATGAAGAGACCTTTTGGTATGCAGGAGATACCCAAGTGTTCTGTGTTCTCCTACTGTCGTCTTTGGCTATTAGGATGTCACTCTAAAGCATATTCCCAGACCCAGAGCTGTACCTGATTATCAGAGTTGACACACCAGTAAAAAATTCAAACAATTACAACAGGAGAGCCACACTGGCTTGCATGATATTAAAAATGCAAAGATATGAATGTTCACCAACCAAAAAAAGACAAAGCTAAGAGGGAGCAAAAGTATTTTCAAAGTTTTGAGAGGCGGTTTCAAATGACAGTGATCCTCCCCTTACCATCCTGCTTGAGTAGCTGACTGAATCACTAAAGCAGTACACAAAGTAACTGTAGACATCCTGATAGCAAGATGTGGCCCTCCACCAAAATCCACACCACAACCTATAAATACTGTTCGTCTTTTTATTGAATATTCAGGTAAATATTTCACATTAATACAGGCTACATAAAGTGGAGCCACTATACGACATGAAATTTACTCAACTTTTTTCCTTTTAAGTATGTAAACAATTATACATGTATTTACCACCGTAAAAGGTTGAAATCATGTAATCATCTAGTTCTCTGCTGCATACAAGTAGCATTCAGTAGTGTTTAGCCAAAAGCACTAGGTTCATCTGATTTTAAGTTCAAAATGGCTAAACTAACTGGAGAACAGAATCAGTTGAATAGGTAAATCAATTTGTTCTTACACAATGGGCAATCAAATTTTCATTGTTACAGCCCAGAGAAAAAAAATTGCTTAGTTAGGCACATTAAAAAAATCCCCAGGGTTCTTCCAAGGTCATAGGTTTCCCAACAAGGCTAAAAAGGATAGACCCTCTTAAATTAGTTGACGTATTTGAGATGCATATTTCCAATGTGAGGTGCCCAGGTGCCAGGCCAAATCTGCAGTGGGGAGAAAAAAATAGTTAATATAGAATATTAAGAATATGCCCAAGTGCAAAATTCTATAATAGATACAGTTCCAAACTCAGACTTATTGTGGCCCAATTTTTTAAACCTGGGTGTCTAAAGTTAGACTCCAAAATAGGAGTGGTCAGATTTTCAGAGGGGCTATAGCTGTCTTCAGCGATGACCAGGTTTTTTGCATAAGCAGTAACTGGAAACGTAGAACCTGTCAGTGTGTATTTATTCATCTTATTCATAGCAAGGTGCGGAGCACTGCTGAGAATCAGGCCACTTATTTATGAGGTAGACAAGGCATTCTTCTGACAACTAACTAAAGTTTACAGATCACAGGCCCTGGTACTAATGGGGGACTTCAATCAGCCTGACATCCGCAGGGAGAGCAATACAGCAATGCACAGACAATCCAGGATGTTTTTGGAAAGTGGTGGGGACAACTTTCTGGTACAAGTGCTGGAGGAACTGACTAGGGACCGTGCTCTTCTTGATCTACTGCTTACAAACAGGAAAGGATTGGTAGGGGAAGAAGAAGTGGGTGGCAACCTAGGCAGCAGGGACCATGAGATGGTTGAGGTCAGGATCCTCAAAAAAAAGAAGAAAGGAGTAGCAGCAAAATACAGACCCTGGACTTCAGAAAAGCAGACTTTGACTCCCTTAGGGAATTGATGGGCAGGATCCCCTGGGAAGCTAATATGAGGGGACAAGGAGCCCAGGAGAGCTGGCTGTATTTTAAAGAAGCCTTATTGAGGGTGCAGGAACAAACCATCCCCAAGTGCAGAAAGAATAGCAAATATGGCAGTTGACCAGCTTGGCTTAACAGTGAAATCTTCGGTGAGCTTAAACTCAAAAAGGAAGCTTACAAGAAGTGGAAATTTG